TTAAGGAGACTGAGACTATTCATAAATTCAAGTCAAATTTAGAGATTACTTTCAGCCCCTGGCTTCTTCTAACCTCCCCTTTCCCTTCCCCCCTCCCCTGAATTATTGTTTGCAAAAATTAAAACAAAATGTTTTGGGGTTTTTGTTTGTTTAAAAAGCAATTTGCATTTTTAAAATTGCCAAAATATAAGTTTTGGAAGGGTGGGGTCTTTTGAAAAGGCAGCATTGTCATTGCTGAATGAAAACCGCGGAGAGGAATGTGTCCTGGGAGACGCAGGGCGCGGGGATGCGGGGCCCAGGGGACACGGTGGCAGCACAAAAGACCACAACCACAGCTCCCACCGCACAGCTCCAGCCTCACTTCCCATTCACGTATCTCCTTTCATTCTCCCAAATGGAAAATCCTGCCTGCCTTGACCTTCCTCAGTGGATTAATTTGACCAAGTCGCTGTTTTTAATGCAGAGATGCTTCTGCTGTAGTTTCTTCACCCAGCTCCAAACCGCAGCGTTCCTTTTTTCTGTCTGACCTTCTCCAGGTTTCTGAACATCTGCATTTAAGTGATATCTCGTTATTCATATCAGAGCCTGATGGCCCAGGTAGAGACTCTTTGATGAAATTCTGTACATCTGCGCGCAATAAAGTCAGCAAACAAAAGGCTTGTGAGGTCCTTGGCAAAATAAGAGAAAGAAGAGAGCAGGAGGCAGCAGCACTGAGCTTAGTCAAGCAACCGCAGCCAAAACTTTTCATCGGAGAGGTGTCAGCACCTGCCACATGTTTTGCCCATAGCAGGGTCTGCACTGGGTCTGCAGCCTGTGCAGAGGTGTCTTCTCCACCAGGTGAAAAGCAAAGCGTGGGGAGTGTAGGTGATGCCAGTGTTGGGAGGTGATTTTTATTACAGCTGGTGACGGCGTTCATAGAAAGAAAAGATGGGTTGCTAAAGAGCCACTTACTGTGGCAGGGAAATTCAAACCAAGAAGCACTGGCTGGAAATTAAAGCCAGGCCGATTCATGTTAGGAACAAGGCAAAATGCTTTAGCACAGCGGGGGATTAGCCATCAGCCGAGGGAGATGGTGGGCGGGAGCCGCGTTTCCTGAGTGCCTCTGTCCAGGGAAAATGTGGCCGGACGAGCCGCACACTCTGCCCGCGGCACCCGGGGACTGTGCACAGACTCGGAGCTGGGATCCAAAAGCATCGTGACCTGCAGCTGGGTCCCCATTGATCCTAAAGGCCAGTCCCATTGACAGTGGTGTGCCCAGGCTTTGTCCACACTCAGCATCTCCAGGACCCCATTGCCAGTTTTCTCTGAGGCTGTAGCATCAGCATGATGGATCCCATCAAGACATGTCCCAGACTTGTCCCCAGCAAGGACTTCCTGATGCCCAGACTGGTCATTTATTGCATTGCCCTAATTCTTCCATCCCTATGCACTATTGTCAGGAAAAAATAGGATGGCTATTTTCCTTCAGTCACACCAAGCCTCTGCCACTGGGCATCTGCAAACATATCAGGCTACAAAAGGAGCTGACAGCTAGCCGTGGCTAGTGACCAGCAGTGCACAACACTGGCCACTCAGGACCCAGGCACTCAGAGCGAGCACAGGAGATAGTAATTTCCATTAAAACCTTTCTCCTTGGTCAGTTTGACCCCTTCTGTCTGCATAAACAGGTGGATCAGAGGGGGTTGGGTGATGGAAAAGCACCCATCTGCGTGGGGTTAGGAGGCAATCCATGCCCAGCATATGTTTTTGGTGCCTTGGGAGTGCAGGTGGAAGGAGGGGACAGAGCCAAGGCTAAGGTGATGGAACCAAAAGAAGCTGAGAAGTCATGGTGGAGGGGTAGCTGTTGCTCCCTGGCTGTGGTGCTTGCGAGAAGCTTGCAGGAAGGCCAAGTGCAGGGACACTGGGCATGGAGAGGGGCTTGACCAACCAACACCGTCTCCCAGCTCATTCGCTCCCTCGTGGGAGGATTTATACACCAAGGCATACACAGTCTTTAGGTTGTTTGCTCTGGATGAGGACAAGAACAGTTGATTTTGGGAGCTCCTTGCAGCTTCTTGTGAGGTTCAGCTTCTTCCCTTCTCCAGACAATGGATTTTCTTATCCCTGAAAGATCAATGTGAAATTGATGCTGGGAGCAGGGCTGCGAGCAGCTCTGCACACTCTACTTATCCCTCCACGTTCCGGAGCAGCTCTGCCCTGGCAGGACCAGCTGAAATATTTGCAAAGATCTTGAGAAAATCCCAGGAGTTCTGCTTTCCTGCTTTGCAAAAATATTTCTGCTTATCAAGCAACCCAAAGAAATGTGAAGATTTTCACTCACTCTTCGGGTGGGCTCAGCTTTGAATTCTGAAAAGGGATTTGCCAATGCAATCTTGCAAAATACTCCAGAACCAAGTCCAGCTCTCCTAAAACACAAATTTTAGGAGGAGGTGAGCTTTCATGCTCTTTGGAAAACATG